TATACCTGTCCCCTCATGTTACTCTTTGTCGGATTATTGTGTTAATCAATGCTTATGTACAGTACCTGCTCTCACTTACTTGTAAACTCTACGTTTTCCCAGTTTAAGTCTAGTCTAAGGTAGATATTGCTTGATAAGGGAATACATTTATTCTGTCATTCCAAACATGCTGTACCTTCAAGTGTTTTTTAAAAACCAAACAAAATTACGGTAAATAAGTGTATTTTGTATACATGAAAGGCTAGTATCAATTCAAAGCTAATCAGTGAAGCTATCTCTTACTTTTTAACAATAAACTGTAGAAATGTCATTTCCACCACGTTGCCCACTGTGGTGAAAAAGACAGCATGGGGTGAAAATGACATTTATGGTTTCAAAACACAATTAATATGGATTGCAAAAGTACAGGGGTTGGACAATGACACTGAAACACTGGCCAATTTAGTGTTCGAGGTTTCATGTCTAAATTTGATCAGCTGGTGGCCGGTCTTCATTGATTTCACATATCACCATAAGAGCAGTGAGTGAAGATCTGATTTGCAGAGTAACAGCACAGTTTTGCTAAAAAATATTGCAATGCACACAACATAATGTCAAATGGTGACATATCAGAGTTCAAAAGAGGCTAAATTGTTGATGAGCGTCTCGCTGACACATCTGTGTCTAAGACAGCAAGACTTCGTAATGTACTGTATCAAGAGCCACTGTATCCAGAGTAATGTCAGCAAACCACCAAGAAGAAGAACCACATCCAACCAGAGTAACTGTGGACACAAGAGGAAGCTGTCTGAAAGGGATGACCGGGTCCTTACACCGAATGTATCCCAAAAAAAAAAAAAAAAAAACACACAGCTGCTCAACTCACTGCAGAATTAAATGTGTACCTCAATTCTCCTGTTTCCACTAAAACTGTTGGTCGGGACCTCCACAGAGTAATGTACATGACCAACTGCTCACTCGTGCCAATCCCAAAATGCCTGTTTCAATGATGCAGCCGCCAAAATCTTGTGCTGTGGATAATGTGAAACATGTATTGTTCTCTGATGAGTCCAACTTCACTGTCTTTGCCTCAAACGGGAGAGTTACGGTGTGGAGAAGCCCCAAAGAAGCATCCCACCAAGACTATTGATGCCCAGAGTAAAACATGGAGGGAATCAGTGATGGTTTGGCCTGTAATATCGTGGCATTCCCTAGGCCAAATACTGGTGCTAAATGGAGCATCACTGCCAAGAACTACCAACGCATTCTGAAGGACCATGTGCATTCAGTGGTTCAAACAATGCATCCTGAAGGCAGTGGCGTGTATCAGGATGATTATGCACCAATACACACAACCAGACTGGTGACGGAGTGGTTTGATGAACATGAAAGTGTAGTTGAACATCACCCATGGCCTGCACAGTCAACAGATGCAAATATTATTGAGCACCATGGGGTATTGTGTGGGAATGAGTCAGGAAATGTTTTCCTCCAGCAGCTTCACATAGTGACCCTGAACACTATTCTGCAAAAAGATTGGCTCAAAATGCCTCTGGCCGCTGTGCAGGACTTGTGTCTGTCATTCCTGAGATGAACTGATGGTATAGTGTCTGCAAAAGGAGGTCCGACACCATACTAATGAATTATTCGTCCGTTCATTTTCGCTTCAACTTAGTCTCTTTATTCATCAGAGGGTCACCACAGCGGAATGATCTGCCAATCTTATCCAGCTTTTGTTTTACCCAGCCGCTGCCTTTCAGCCGCAACCCATCACTGAAGAACACCCATACACTCTCATTCACACACATACGCAACGTACAACTTAGCTTACCCAATTGACCTATAGCGCATGTGTTTGGACTTGTGGGGGAAACCGGAGCACCCACGCAAACACACAGAGAACATGCAAACTTCACTCATAAATGCCAACTGGCCCAGCCGAGGCTCGAATCAGCGACCTTCTTGCTGTGAGACAACTGTGTTATTAACTGCGCCACCGCACTAATTAATTATTATGCTATAAAACCAGGCCTTTCAGTTTCATTGTCTAACCCAGAGGTGGCCAACCCTGTTCCTGGAGAGCCACCTTACTGCAGATTTCAGTTGCTACTAGGGATGTAACGGTATTGTAAATACCGTCATACCGCAATATTAATTTTTTTCGATATTACCGAAGTCGCATGACTCGGTAAAACTATAGGTCTTCTGAGAAAATTTGCTCAGGCGAATGAAGCGAACGGGAGGTACCGGAAACTACAATTCCCATCAGCCCATGCTTGACCATCATCCCTTGCGGTCTGTTGTCGCTACAGATCCAGTAATGCGGAAATGGAGTGTGCTGCTAGAAGCGGGGATGTAAAAGAGCTGGAAAACTTTAAAGCGGGTGTTGTCGCCGCGCGCGTACTGAATAGCGGTGTTGTCGCGCGCGTACTGAATAGCGGTGTTGTCGCGCGAGTTCTTATCAGCTGTGTTGTCGCGCGAGTTCTTATCAGCTGTGTTGTCGCGCGAGTTCTTATCAGCTGTGTTGTCGCGCGCGTACTGAATAGCGGTGTTGTCAGCACACTGTTCAGATTGATGCAGACATGAGACCTCTATCTTACTCATGGTTTGTCCTCTCAAGTGGGGGAAAGACAATGCACAACGTTACCCACTGCTGTCAACCTGGGCCAAGTCATATCTCTCTTGTCCCAGAAACCTCAGTCCCAAATGAGAGGATTTTTTTCTGTTGCAGGGGACATTGTAAATGCCCAGAGATACCAGCTTTTACCAGATTATATTTATATGATAATTTTCCTTTAAACCCATCTCTGTCTAAGTGAGTGATGTTGAATGTTGAATGTGATGAGTTTTCAACAACACTAAATTGAAACTTTATTTTTTTTACATGGTTTAATATTTTTTTGTTATTAAAATTGAAGTTCCTGTTTCAAAGCTTACAGATAGATGACTAATTTGTATGTCATTGACACTTTTGGCACTTTTTTGGAGTATTTTCATAAGTTTTGTTTTTTCCTGTAAATGATTCAATAAATACCGTACCGTGACATTCATACCGAGGTATTACCGTACCGTGAAATTCTGATACCGTTACATCCCTAGTTGCTACCCATATCAAACACACCTAAACCAATTAATTAGGACCTGAACACCACGTGATAATTACAGCAGAGGTTCTCAAAGTGGGGGTCGGGACCCCCCGAGGGGTCGCGGGACAATGAAGGGGGGTCGCCTGGTGATTTTCAAAAATCAATTAATTTTTATTAAACCTTAAGACTTACTGTATTTTATCAATAACCTACTGAAGAGAAAAAATAGTCGTTTATAGTTACTATAAACTATATAGTTACTATAGTAGCTTATAGTTACTAGTTCTATTGGATTGCGACTTCTCTGGTAATTACATTATACTGAAGGCACAGCAATACTGTCAGATGCAGCAGATTGATTTTATAACACCAGGTTAAACTTTCTAGCCCATTTACAGCACTGACATCCATAAAAAAAACAAAGAATAGACTTGGGTCTATTGGCGTGTGTGTGCGTCATTGCATACAAGGTTTCTGTATTTATAACCACCACCTCAGAGAATATTGGGGGTCACGAGTCATTGGCATTCTCATTTTGAGGGTCGCAGGCTGAAAAGTTTGGGAACCCCTGAATTACAGGCTGGTGTGTTTGATATGGGTTGCAACTGAAATCTGCAGGAAGGTGGCTCTCCAGGAACAGGGCTGCCCACCTCTGGTCTAACCCCTGTAGATGTGTATTTTATTTTTTTTATCATTTATATAAGATTTGAATAATAATCAGTTATTTATAGTATACACTGTTACTGTTCGTCTGTTAGACAAATCAGTTTTTAAGATAAATGTCAGCTTTACACATGCAAAACGTGTGGTTATGCTTAGTAATTTTATAAATTGAGATTAATAAGTGTGAGTTTAATGTTTTTTTCTAATAAATATCTAATGTTTTTCTACATCAACACTGATTCATTGTCATTTCCACCACACCCTGTCATTTCCACCACTGCTCTGTCATTTACATCACTACACAAATTTTTAAAAAATATTTCAAAAGTTCTTATCAAACATTAAAAATGTATTACAACATATGAGATCATACTCTGTTTAATATACAAATTCAATTTATTTATTTTCTAATAAGCTCGTAACCAAATTAATATTAAATTTTAGAGTGTATCAGGTGTACAATTCACCATTCGGTCCTGAGGGACTTATTTATTTTATTGACAAATGTATAATTATTGTATAAGATAAGTGTAAAGATTGGTTAAACTAGACACAAAAATGATCTCAGACAATGTTTGATTGCCAAAATGTATTTCATTTTGAAATAAAAGATGTGTATTGAGATGTGGTGGAAATGACATTTGTTCAGTTCACGATGATAAAAATGTAAAATATTGACAATTTATCTTCATATCTAAGTTTGTCCTCTTACAGAACTTGAAACTAGGCAAATTGTTTAATCTTATGAGGCTCTGCTACATTAATTGTGAACAAGTACTTTTTGCTCAACTACACAAGGCTAAAAGTGTCCGTAGTTGAAGAATTGCGCAAAGTAGGAATCACTGTTCCCTTTATAAAAGATTGTTTAAGTCTTCATTTTTGAAGCTGCTAGTTGACAAAAGCAGTGCTGTTTTAAAATATCCAAGTCATTCAGAAAGTTAAGTAGAAGAAATCAAGCTTTACTTTTCTGTTTCTTTTATTGCATTTAATGAGCAATAAAATCATTGTGGGCCGGATGTCAATGGCAATACTCCACTATTTAGAGCAAGGTAGGGCCCCAAAATTATTTTGCTTAGGGCCCCCAAATGTACAGGGCCGGGCCTGATTGGAACTAAACTTTGGCAGCTGATGATGACATTACACTAGAACACGAGGACGCTGAAGAAGGCGTATTGAGAAACAGCCAAATATGAGAAGTGGTATGTGTTGAGTCTTCTGAGTGAGAAGCAGTTTCCATCTGTGAGGCATTGTGAGGTGCGGGTAAAGTTATTGCCAAGTAAGTTCCTTGACGACATGTTTGTAATTACCCTTGTATGTTTGATATTAAGTCTGTGATGTTGTTAATGACTCGTCATCAGCTGGCATCTTGTTTGTGTTTGATTATGATTCAGTGTCCTATATTCTACATTTGTTATGCCTTATGCTGTCACACGTCCTCTATATAATGCAGCTTTAGTCATTAATGTCCATTTATAATCTGTTTACACCCAGCATAGATTAGTCTGCTGACTGCACTTTTAAGAGAGCTGCAAATACTGTATTGTTTGTAACAGGATATTTATTGTGTCAGTACATAAATATTTTTCATTTTAACTCCTTGCTCACGATAAAAGGTGAAAAATATCTCCTGACTCCTACTTCTTAATCAAAGTGCTGAAGTGGTCAGCAACATTAAATAACTGGCTTGCTAAATTGGGCAATACCCAACAGCAGATATTTGCTGATGACCATATTTAGTTTTATGAGGATGTACCAGGGTTTGCTGTGGTATAAAACCAACTATCGATCTGCACACGCAAGAAGACGGAACAAGATCAAGACTTAACTCTTTCCACTGCATTGACACCTCAACATGGGTAAGAATTTAATATCTATTATGCATATTATACGTTTATAAAAACCTTTTAGAATATAAATACAAGATTGTTTATAACACAGACATTGCACAGAGGTAATATATAATCCATATAATTAAGCACAAGATACACATTTATTTTCTCAAACAAATGACTTTTCATACAAATATTTCCTTCTAATGAATCCACACACTGCAAATGCAAAATTATTGAATATAAAAGACTAATTATTGGTTTTATTCTAATGAAGTTTTATTAAAATGTTTGAGAGGAGCATGATCAGATATACTCTTATAGTTCAGAACTTTGCAGCACAATGACACACTGACAGTCCTTTCTGTGCTTCTTTGTTTAGAAAACAGCAGTTTTGGGCTGAAAAATGTGATTGGAGGTTTAACAGACAAGAGCACTTTGGAGATCAAGGGATTTGGGATTTTTTCTGCCTGCATTTTCTTTTCCACCATCATAGTGGGTGTCATTGGAAATGGGCTGGTCATATTTCTGGCCGGCTGCAGAATGAAGACGACTGTAAACTCCATTTGGTTTCTGAATTTGGCGATTGCAGACTTCATCTTCCTTTTATTTTCAGTCACAAATTTTTGCCTAATCTTGAGCAATCAGCACAGTGATCTCACATACATATTTATCTTCATCGCAGCATGTCTAAATCTGTTTGTTAGCGTTTGGTTTCTTGTAGTCATCAGTCTGGATCGATGCCTGTGCACATGGATGGCTGTTTGGGCTCAAAATAACAGAACTCTGCGTAAAGCCAGAATCATCTGCATCATCATCTGGGTTTCATCCATCGGCTACATTTTACCTTTCTTGAACGTTTTTGAGATTACAGTTACAATTCGTGTCACATATGGATTCATAGTGGACTTTCTCATCCCCTTCCTGACCATTGCATCTTCATACATCGCTATTGGAGTAAAAGTCAAACGCCTCAAAAAGAGGAAGCAGCTCAGGTCATACAGACTTATTATAACTGTAATCCTGACTTTCTTCATCTGTTCATTTCCACAACATGTTTGCTATTTTTGGATGGTAAGGGCAGAAAATAATAATTGGACTCTCACTGATCAATTTTGGAAGTTATTTGCTTTTACTCTCTACCTGGTTAATCTCAACAGCAGTCTGAACCCATTTCTCTATGTGTTCATGTGTGAGGATTATAAGAAGAAGCTGAAACAGTCTCTGGTGCTGGTGCTGGAGACGGCGTTTGCTGAAGATCATCTGGACAATAAAGAAATGAGACAGACACAAGATGATTAACAGGCAAAACAAACCACACTTGAATTGCTAAAAATGTAGAAAACCTTTTTGGGGGAAAAAGTTTTCCAACCATTGTTAATACAGTAATTATCACAGTTAAACAGTAACTGTCATCTGTATTCAGCATAATTTTCTGTCTAAAACATCTCTTGTAAATTATAGTTTTATAAATCCAGGTTTTGTGCTTGGTTTAGTTTTGTGTTCTTGTTTCATTGTCTGTATATTCACTTAGGGCTGATTTCATTGTTTAGTTTGGTGTGTGTATTCAAGTCTCAGTCTGTCTTCATTGATGTTTGTGTCGTTGACCTGTTCATCTATTTTATTAGATTAAAAGCATTGCTGTGTACATAATTCATTTTTATTGTCTGTTATCAACACTAACACTTTATTTATTTACCAGATGACCATTACTGACCAGTTAAGGATTTTTTATGATATCGGCTTAATTGTAATTAAAAGTCATTTTACATTTTATTTTTTTTAGAGTCCAGACACTAGTCCTGTCATGTCTTATATGTTGTACTTGGCTCGAGTTATCTTGGGTTGAGCACTCATTTTCTTTCATTGTGTGTCTCTGTATGAGCGCTGTTGCAGGGGTGTAGATTTAGGGTGGACGGAGGGGACGCATCCCCACCAATATCCACAAACAATTAATATGTCCCCACCAATAATTTAATCCACTTACAAAAAATCACACTGTCAACATTAACCTAGACACGCAGAAAGGGTTAAATGACATTCTCTCCTCGAGTCCTCCCACCCCCAAAACACATATGGACATTTTGATTGGCTGTGCCTTTCCCTGCTGTCATGTGAGGGGGTGTGGCTGTGTTTAGATACAAACAGCACCAAATGCAGTGGATTGTTTATTTCATGCAAGAATAAGGTGTGTTGGGTGACACAAACACAAGCGAGGATGGCAGCAGCAAAAAAAGTTATGTCGTTAGGTCTTCCAACAAAAAGTCACATGAACGCATCTTTCCTACTGAATGAGTTAATCATGATAATGCCAGTAATGATCATGTGTTTTTTCCCAGCTTAAACGCACAGTCTATCGTTATACAGGCTGATATAGTCTGAATAATATGCCCTGAAAACTAACTGCAGTATAAACAGCAAAATGTAAAAGTATGTGATCCCCGCCAGTTCTTTAATCTCTCAGAGTAGCATGTGCAATTTCGGTTGAAACAGTTTGTCAGAAAAAATACAGCATGTGGATAGGCATAATACTGATAAATGAGATGTTTCATTTGCACTATGGCTAAAATAAACGGAAGTCTTAATTAAACTCTCTCTTTATCAGTTAATAAACTTTATTCTAACATTACACTATCAGGCCTGTAGCCAGCTTATTGAAAGGGATGGTTCTTTTTTTCTGAAAAACTGAACCTTTTTGCAGTTATTTGCCTGATTTTCTATTTAATTATGAATGCTATAAACATTGCATTTTAGTGACATTTTAAAAACACATTTTTGCTGGATTAGCTTGACGGATGGTTATCATAACCACACTTCTTGATATACCAAAAAATATTTCCTACCATGTTGTCAAATTGCTTAGCATACTATTTTAAGTTAAAGTTAAATTAGTTTATTTACAAATGTGCATTTAAACTGTAAGTTTTATATTACAGTTTTATAACTAATGGAAATTTTGTATAAAGAATTATAAAGAGATACTTATTTTTAAAATACAAATTTATTATCATCATTACATTTTTATTTTTTAGAAATCTGTTAAAACTAGTTTTAAATAAAAAAATGATGCCTATAGGTAAATAAAAAACTGGCCAGCACATTAAACTTTCCTCAGAATTTGGCCATTTGAATATATATATATATACTTTTTTTTTTTTTTAATTTTTAAATTTTTTAAATTTATTTAACCTAATAAATTGTGTGAAGAGAGGATTAATTGATAATTTATTTTAATAGCAGTTAAAAAATTAATAACATATATTCACCCGTCCCCCCAATATATATATTAATTCACCCGTCCCGACCAATGTCTGGCAAACCTATGCCCTTGCGCTGCCGTGACCGCGCTCGGGTTGTGCACTCTCCTGCTTAAGTGTCAAGTCCACGTGTATGCTCCAGCACAGCCTGCAAGTGGACACATAGCCCTCGCTGTGGTCGTCGCCGATGCTGACACGCACTGCTCCAAAAATATAACTAGATGTTGCAATGACGCAAAGCGCAAGCACTGTGATTAGTCAGCTTGGTGTGCTGACGAGAACGAGAGCTGAGTGAGTGTTCACAAGTGTCGAGTCTCGTGAAAGAGGTCCAGATAGAAAATTCTGTTTTGATTGAAGTTGTTGCACGTCCACTGGTTCCCGCTTCTGAATGAGCTAGTTCGAGCTACAGTACTTCTAAGGTAGCGTTCAGAAAAACAACACACTAGCGAAGAAACTCGACACAGAGAAACATAAAAACCTACTGCCAACTAGCGTTTCTGTGCTATTGCAGAGGGACACAAACAGCACGCAGAAGTATAAATGCAAAGCAATGCGCAAGGCAGATACAAAGTCATGCCAATCACTCGACGCAGAGGTATAAACAAAGCTTTAATGCAGGCGTGTGGGTTTTTTTTGTCTGTAGCGTGATTTCTTCTAAGCGTCTGTTTCTTGTTTGTTTCTGTTTTGGCACATCATCTGGACATTAAAAATGAGAAAGACAAAAAAGGATGAGCAAGAGAAGAAAACCACAATTGAATTGCTAAAAATTTAGAAAATCTTTAAATGTTTGTGATCATTGTTAATACTGTATATAATTATCACAGTTAAAACAGTCTGTATTCAGCATAATTATCTGTCTAAGCCATATCTTGTAAATTATAGTTTTTCTTCATTTATGTTAAGCTTCTTTTAGAAGTTTGGCCCCAACAGAGGCAGTCCTTTCAAGTTTTTTTTTTTTCTTTCACTTTCATCAATTGGTGAAGTTTGTTCCTCACCGTTGTCACCACTGGCCTGCTTGGTTTGGGACTTGTGGAGCTGTGTATCGATGGATTTGCTCTTCAGTTTGTGGACTTCCAGCAGTGAAAATTAAACCACACTGAACTGAACTAAACTAAACTTTAACTCTGAAAACTGGACTGGCAGTTTCAATTACTAGAACTTCTATGTTAAGCTGCTTTGACACAATCTACAATGTAAACGCTCTATAGAAATGAAGAAGAACTGATTTGAAGTTTACACCTGGAACTGGCAGAGGTGCAACAACTTTAATCATAAAGTCAAAACAAAAGCAAAAAGTTTCCATCTGGAGCTCCTTCTCGGGACTCCACACTTGTAAACACTCGCTCCATTGGGCTTGCAGCTCTCAGCCCCACCCCCACTCATCACCGCTACCAAATCGACCAATCACTGACCATCATCAAAACATGTAGTTGCATCTATTGAGAGATGCCAATAGATGCCATCAGCCAATATAACATAAAGAACATATAACAAAAAGAAAATGTCTCTATTAAATAATCAAGTACTGATCAAGAGTTATCCTCACAGGTGTGTGGGTCCTCTGAAATCTTCAAAGCTTTATTTAAAATCAAGTGTCTTATGAAATAACATGGTGATGATAATAATAATTCCATTATTATATCGCATTTGGGTACTCAAAGCACTTAAAAGATGTTGGGGGAATCTCTTCATTTATCAACAATGTGCAGCATCCACATGGATGATCAGTTTTGCTCCAACCCTAATCAAACACAGCTGATCCAGCTAATTAAAGGTGTTCAAGACTACTATAGACTTTTAAGCAGGTGTGAGTTGGAGGTGGTTGGAGATAAACTATGCAGAGCTGTGGCCCTCTAGGAACTGAGTTTGAGACCATTGGTTTAGAGTCCCCATCACTATACTGGGGCTTTAGGAACCACATAGGGGCATGAGAATCCCCTGGCAGCAACTAAGTTTTCCCATCTAGGTACTAACCAGGCACAGCCCTACTTAGTGTGTGATCATGTTAGAGCTGCAGAGAGCTTGCTGCCAGGTAACCTAACCCATTCTCAGAATATGTCGTCAGTATATAATCAAATGAGTGCACAACATAGAAACTTATATTATTTCAATGGAGGTGTCACAGTCATTTCTTTAATGAGCATCACTAATATCCTCCACTGTGTGCCTAAGAATATTTGTAAGGTCACAGTATATCTTCTATTTAAAAAATTTCCTAAAAACACCTCAATGTTTTATTTAAACTTCTTTGCTTCATGTTAGTGTTAGGGAAGTGAAAGTGAGGTGAAATTGTGATGTGGCCAAATGTGGTGACCCATAGGCCTCAGAATTTGTGCTCTGCATTTAACCCATCCAAGTGCACAAACACAGCACTGAACACACACCCAGAGCAGTGTTTGAGCTACAGAAAATTCTAGCAGGAAAGGTCCTGTGGTGGGTTCAACTGCTGATGACCATATTTAGCCTTATTGGCCAATAGGGATGGGTTTACTCTGGTATAAAACCAACTATCGGTCAGTGCAAGCAAGAAGATGGACCAAGACCAACACTCGACTCTTTGTACTGCATTAACATCTCAAAACATGGGTAAGAAATTAATATCTATTATGAATATTATATGTTTATAAAAACCTCTCAGAATATACAGACAAGATTATTTATGCAGACAATGCACAGAGATAATATAAAATCCATATAATTAAGCACAAGATACACATTTATTTTCTCAAACAAATGATCCTTCATACAAAGATGTCCTTATTACATAATGAATCCATGCACAGCCAATGCAAGGTTATTCAATTTAGATGACAAATTTTTGGTTTTATTCTAATGAGGTTTCATTAAAATGACACAATCGGATATACTCCACACTGTAAAAAAAATCCTGGGAAACAAAAAAAAGTTAAATTATGGCAAGTAAAATTACTGGAACTTCCTGTAATTTACAAAATTATTTTTTATTAGTTTTTTTGGCTGTACAGTAGATTACACATTGGTTGACCGTATGTTGACAGTTTTAAACAAACAAATCAAACAAACTTAATCCTGTTGCACAACTACACTTTAATTGGGTGTTAAATGAAAATCTG